TGTGTGTGTGTGTGTGTGTGTGTGTGTGTGTGTGTGTGTGTGTGTGTGTGTTTTAATAAATGTATAAAATTTAAATTACCAACCAATTAAATGATCATCATATTTACTCTTTCCAAGAAAGTTTGTAAAATTAACTGAAAAACACTGATCAAAGCTATAAATAACTGTCAGCGACACATTCCACTTTGAGGTGCCATCTGACGGGCAAATTTAAGATTTTATTCAATAACCCACCAAGCCCAGTAACTGCTTAGGAACAGGGATTACACACACTCATACAGCGCTTCGATTTGATGCACCGAAAGTCCGGTTTTCTCTCTCTTTTATTATTTTATTTTTTTATTCCAACTTTATTTTTTGCCTGCTATCAACTTTTTACAAAAATAGATTCTGGTGGAAGTGGCCATGGTGGCGGTAGTGTTAGCTCTAATTATTATTAGCTTTTTTTTTTTTCAGGAGCCACTAAAATGACGGATGGTTTTGTGGTATGTCACCGACATTCTACCCCCCCTCCCCCCAATCTCCGAATGCATGCAGAGTCATCGAATGCTAATCGTTCTAATTGCATGCAGGGAGCTAAGCTTACTAATTCCTGTGTGCGTCTATAAAAAAAAATAAGTAAAAGAAAGATAGAACACTCATTTGTTAAGAAAAAAAAAGAAGAGGAATCTAAATGAATTCATCCATAACCAAATATAAACAACATTATTTAATAGTAACCAAATGTGATTACAGTAAAGCCAGAATAGGCTTTAGACATGCAAAACAAAAAAGAAAGCAAATTAAACTTAATTGCCGGTACACAAAATAAAATAAGGAAGTACAAGGTTTTCAGATCAATACGTCCATCAAACAAGTAGGTACATGTTCTTAACAAATAGGCTAACGTACGTACAAACACTTGTCCAAAAAAAAAACAAACACTGGTAGGACTTGTTAACAAAATTTAAAATAAGTTAAAATACCTTGGGGTAAAGGTAAAACTGAAAATGACTGACGTACCTTTGGTCATCCTTCATTAAAAAATATTCTAACGACGAGATCATAACCGGAAATGAATAAATTTAAAGGGTCTTAAGTGTTCTGGTTGCAAAATCAAAATATACCTTTGTGACCACACGAATTATACGTCAAGATTAAAACAACAAGTCACGACCTTAAAGGATGACCAAACAATATTATACGACGGCTAGGTAATTAAGAGAAAAAAAAAAATGAAAGAAGAATACTCTCGTAGCAGACACTTGCTAGACTCGAATGACGTATGTCATATACGACATACGTTTACAAAGTGTATAAAATTTACTTTGGCGTTTTGGAAATTTGGTGTAGACAGTTCTAATAAATACATGTCATGACTAGGATGTTTAGAAACAGGAACCACCAAACTTCTGGTGAGAAGAACTGTACTTCATTTAAAGTATTCATTGAAGGGTTCATTTACGACAGAGTCAGAAGTCCGGGAACCCTGCATCGTATCGTCCCTCACCCTCTGATCCCTGATTTTATGTCTTACACTTGCTGGTCTTGAACGACACTTGGAGAACCCTGTTCCCCAGGGTGTAACCATTCAGGCTCTGAATGGCGACCAGAGCCTCGTCGTAATTGGTCATCGTCACAAAGCCAAACCCTTTACACTTGTTGGTCTGCAGATCTCGAATGACCTTGACACTCTGTACTGCCCCAAAAGGGCCAAATAGCTGCCACAAGAGATTTTCCTCGGTGTCAGGAGCGAGGTTGTAGATGAACATACACCATCCAGAACCATTCAAAACGTTCCCAGCCAATAGAGAATTGGTTGCCAGCAAATCTCCTGCCAGAGGGGAATACCTGCAGAGATATAAAATGTCACCTTGAAACACACAGTCTTAATATCAAGAGATATAATCATAAACACAGATACCATCCTTATAGACACATACTTAAACATGCCGAATGTTAAAGTACTTTGTAACGTTTTGGGATCGTGAAAAACTTTTATATACGGCCAAAGTTTTGACATAGATCACTATTTGTAAACGATGCGGTAAAAGTTTTGACATAGATCACTATTTGTAAACGATGCGGTAAAAGTTTTGACATAGATAAGTTAACTAAGTAATGTCCATTCATAATACCCGTGTTTAGCTTAGTCATTTTTATCATTGTTTACAAATAGAAAAGGACTGCTCAATAAATACTGACCACGTAGAAAATTTTTATTTTAGCTTTAAAGTTGTGTTAAGCTTTGTAGACTCGGCTATTCCTAACATCAGCTCTAAATTGATAAGTTATGTTTAGAAATTTTGGTCCAGTATTAATAATGCATCGTTGTGTAAGGTAAGTAAATCTGAAAATAACATGTACAGATTATTAATATAATGATTTGAGAGAGTGAAGTTTAGAACGGGACATAATATATCAGTGTAGAAAACCCTTCTCAAAGTACATTTATTTGACTAAACTAAATCCCACAGAAAATGTATCTTTCCAGTATATTATTTAAAAATGGTGCCCTACAAGCATTACCTTAAAAAATCTGTATGGTATGACATGTTTATCAGGCTAATCGGTACGTAACAACAACGTGAAAACTATGGATAAATTGTATGTGCACGTGAGCGAGACGTTTGCAAAAATAATTTTTAATTCCTAAAATTTTCAAAAAGTTTCAAAATTTTCTTAATGTTTCTGAGTGTTCAAAATATTAACAATGCCTTACTTTTCCAATTATAAACTTTTTTTTTTTTTTGTAAAGGAAGCTGTATTGTTTGTTATTGTTGTGAACAAAATACAATTCATGGCACGTGGTTGAACGTGTCACGTTCTGTTTATTTTGGCGTTTCCTGTTCCTTAATTTTTTTCAGTTAATTTCTTGGTTTGAACGAAGGCTCCATCATTTCGATTAACGTGAAACGTCGAATGACAAGATATTTATTAAAAAATACGTTTATTAAATGTAATATATCAAATTACAACAATACAGAAACAAAGATATGGCACTTGTGACGAAAAGGCTTAATGCATTCACTGATTGGCCGCTCCCTCTGCTGTGAACTGCAGTTTCGCTCATTCAAGGCTCATCAGCACAGCTTGGGTCAGAAAACAAAATAATACAGTTAGGCCTAATATAATGGTGAAGTTTATATAATATTTATGGGATTTTTTGAGTCTGTTTTACTTCACCTTACAGTAACCTTAGATAAATTAAGTTAACTGTTAGAACATTGCGCCTAATTCATTACACGATATCGTACAGCGGACTAATTGTTTAATGATTATATGTATAGGAGATTTATTTTCCACAAATGTCGTAATTCACACTCCTAAATTAAATTAGGTTACTGTATGGTCATTTGAAAATACGGAAAGTTTTCAAACAATACTATATACGGTCACTTAAAATCCATCATTCATTACTGAAATCCAGGTTCCTTGTATTGAGGCCTGATCTGTATTTGGCTTAGATTTCTGCTTAGGCAGCTTTCATGGGATCCAATTGTGATTTATTTGTTGTTGTTGTTTTTTGGTTCCAAATGCTTGTATCTTCTTCTCCAGTCACATTAATACCATGGTAACCAAAAGTATCAAAACTCTGAAAGTTGTAGAAGCAAACAGAGCTGAAGAACAGCACATGCTTTACCAAAACCTTATGGTCAGTATAAGTGCAACGCAACTAAATGAGATTGAACACATACACAAAATACCCGATTAAGATTGGTAATTAAATGTGGTTCAGCAACCTCCATCAAGGCTCTATTAAACCTCACAAGTATTGTCAAGCCCTATTGCACCTCACAAGTATTGTAAAGCCCTATTACACCTCACAAGTATTGTAAAGCCCTATTACACCTTACAAGTATTGTAAAGCCCTATTACACCTTACAAGTATTGTAAAGCCCTATTACACCTTACAAGTATTGTAAAGCCCTATTACACCTTACAAGTATTGTAAAGCCCTATTACACCTTACAAGTATTGTAAAGCACCAACGGCGCTTACAAGCAAAATACTTCACTAGGGCCGTGAAGAATAAAAACCACGACTTCTATTTAGGGCATTCAAGCTCCCCACAAACACCAACCAAGCAGGTGGTTGCTTCAAAAAACAGTCATTGGCTGACAGGTACTATAGAGTCATTTCGGAGATAAATGGTCACCACAAGATATCAGAAGTTCCCACGTGAAAGAGACATGTGGTACTTTTGGGATCAGCCTGGACGGATAATACAGAGATTGAAACCACAAGATATCAGAAGTTCCCAGGTGAAAGAGACATGTGGTACCTTTGGGATCAGCCTAGACGGATAATACAGAGATTGGATAGAGGGTGAAGCAGAAAGGGCCTATTTAGAGTTTCTACAGTAAAGACAGCGAGAGATTTCGTTGGGCCTCCATCCTACCACGGAGTAACAACGTTCAGCATAAGGCTGACGAATGATTCAAGCAGCACAAGGATGGAGATGAAAGCCACTCTCCTCAGGTTGGTTAAAGCAATAAACTGAAAATAAATGTCAACTTACTACTTGCGACTGTATAAGATTCAGGATGATTGATCCCTGTATAGATGCCAGAAAGTAAAAAAACAGGGTAAGACCATCGCTTGGTTGAATGTGTTAGACCAGTGTTTCTCAACGTTGGCCATATGGCTCCCAAGGGGCCACACGGGAATGACGGAAAATTAGGGGGCCCACAGTAAATTGTGAGTGGGCTACTGAAACTTCACTGTCCCAATAAAATATTTGAAAGTTAACCGAAGGTTCTCTTCTCCCTGTATCCCCCACAGCTCAGAAGTCGAGTTACTAGACGCGACTAGTACTCGAGTAACAATCAAAATTCCGGATTGGGTGGTGGATCCATTTGGGATGAATGCGGTTGATGTTGACGTCACCTTGTAAGAATGTCTCATCGAACTGCAGAGTGATATAACAGCCCAAGCTAGATTCAAACGTGACAAACATTATTTCTGGATAAGTAGTGAAATAGCTAATAAGTTTCCACAGCTCTTGGAGAAGGCAAAGTTGTATTTTATCGCTTTTCCCACATCTTATCTGGTTTTAGTCGAGTGACTTATTTGCTATCAAAAATACGCAACCGTCTTGATGTTGTAAAGATAGGGGACCTTCGCTTATCACTGACCACACTGCAACCTGACATTCAAAAACCTTCAAGTGTTCATTAGGCCCAAGGATCACACTCAATAAAATGTCAATGATTAACAGAATATTTTTTTACTTGTATTAGTAAACAGTATGTTATAAACAAAATATTTTAAGAAAAATACAATATTGTAAAAATAATATTATTAATCAACAGTGTGGAAATAAAGTAACTTTTTCCTAAGTAACAGCGTCTACGAAGGGTGGGGCCACAGGGATAAATAAAACTCAAAAGGGAGCCACGAGCAAAAAAAAGTTGAGAAACACTGTGTTAGACCACCATGCTGGGATAAAGCTAAATGAGGAAGCCGGCAAGAGAAGGCCCTTTATCAAATCCAGCACAATGTTACTGGCAGGAAATGACCTTCTCTGTACTAGGAAGACGTAAATGGAACCATAGAAAGTCTTCATCAACATCCAGAAAGACTGCGATTGTTGGAAACAAAGTACCGTGTGATGTAGCCAAGAAAAGTAAAAGATGGGAAATCAATAGGACAGCATACAGCCACAAGGCCACTGGTAACATCAGTATAGGACAGCATACGGCCACTGGTAACATCAGTAAAGGACAGCATACGGCCACTGGTAACATCAGTAAAGGACAGCATACGGCCACTGGTAACATCAGTAAAGGACAGCATACGTTATTAAAATAAAAACGTTCGTAAAGATAAACAGAATTACAAGAATAATAGAAAACCTTCATAATACTGTGCAGAGTCAGCATTAATAACAGTGCGATTATTAGAATTTAGACGTTTTAACTGAGCACTAAGTGACAATCTTGGGGGTTAAGCCAATAGGCCTTGACACCTTATGTAGAAACCAACTGTTTCGCAAGATGTAGAAGAGTTCCTTCTGGCTGTATGCTGTCCTTTACTGATGTTACCAGTGGCTGTATGCTGTCCTTTACTGATGTTACCAGTGGCCGTATGCTGTCCTATACTGATGTTACCAATGGCCTTGTGGCCGTATGCTGTCCTTTACTAATGTTACCAGTGGCCTTGTGGCCGTATGCTGTCCTTTACTAATGTTACCAGTGGCCGTATGCTGTCCTATACTGATGTTACCAGTGGCCTTGTGGCTTCTGCTGGTATAATACTTGTCATTCCAATGTTACATGTGTATCAATATTTTCTAATCAAGTTACCGTGTACCATCACACATTCACTTCGTTGTAATTAGAAAAATATGTAGAGTTAGAGCATGCGTAAACCGTGTTAAGCCTATTATTTTAACTATTTTATTTGATGTACAAGAAAACGGACTTTGATTTTTTTCCGATTATTAAATGCCACTGCACAAATTTGACATTAACGTTTGATTCATTACACTATTTTAAAATTGTTATTATTCAACAATGTGCCTATAGATGGCGCTAAGAGAAGGCTGCTCAATAAATATTGATTACGAAGATGGAAACCAGATTAAGTGTTTATATATTTTTTTATTATTATTCATTTATCTATGTTATTTATATTAAAAAGGTCAGCTTTAATGTTCTTTATGATTAACAGATGCTATTGAAAGATTTACAAAATTTAAAATATGAAAAAAATTTAAGTTGAACTGAAAAACTATTACCTAGTAAATGAAAAAGTTCAGTCAAAAAAAAAACAACAAAAAAGTTGTTCCTGATCCAGCTAAACTGCACATAAATTTAGCATAAACACAACCACAAAAGAAATTTAAGTTAAACAGAAATTTAATTATATATTAAAGTAGATTGTTCAAACAACCAAACAAAAATCCATTCCTCATTCAGCCAAATTGTAGATAAATCTGACGTAATCACAATCAATAAACAAATTCAAGAAAATCAAAGAAAAAAAATCAAAATAAAAGGGAAACAAAGGTTCGATCTCCAAGCAAGGTCAAGTACCCTGTGTTCTAGGGTACGTCTGGCTCCATAGTATGTAATGAGATACGTCCCAACACCTTTAATTTTTAGCTTCTCCTTAAACCAATTTTTTTTTCTTCATTCAATGTTTTATTTAACAATAATGAATCTGTGTCTCTTGAATATAAAAAAAATATATATGTATGTGAATATAAATAATTAGCTTCTCAAAGCCAAACATAATTTGGAACGATTTACAAAATGAATCTTAAAAAGTGAATGTTTAAAAATAGGCGTCAAGAACTTGTCACTAGGAGCCGCTGGAATCGCGTACCTGGAGATCGGCGACAGGGGAATGTACCTGAAGCGGTTAGCTGGATGGTGGATGGGTCCAGGAAACGGGCGCTGAGGAGACAAGTATGCCGCCAGGGGTGCTAATGCCTTTGCATTGTTGCTTGGATTATTTGCAAATTTCACTGTGATTGGTTCACTACTGCCGTCGGGAATGGTGTTGTGTAGGTGTTTAATAGCTCTGTCGGCTTCTATTCGCTGGTCGAAACGCACAAATCCGACACCTTTAGACAATCCTGCAAAATTACCCACAATCGGCTTAACTATTAGAAGAAAAAAACAAAAATTAGCTATTCTGTTTTCAGTTAGAGAAGTTAACATTTAAAAAGTTATATGTAAAAAAAGTTTTAAAAACAACTAAAAAAAAATAATTTTGTTCATTATAAAATTAATTATAGAAGGCTTAACTTTGTATCTAATTCGATGTTTTTTACATAGTGTTACTACACATCTCGTACTTGTTAGCTAAGAACACGAATTACTTAAGTTCAAACGTATTAATAGGAGGAGGAGGGGGGGGGGGAAGTCCGGAAAATGCCGAGTGTTTTCGTCTTCTTGTTTCTTACAGTTCAAAATCGTCATCGTTTGTCGTGGGACAGTGCGTGTCTTTCTTAAGTTTAAATATGCGAATCTTTTATATTGCTAAACCTATCGTCATCGTTTGTCGTGGCACAATGCGTGTCTTTCTTAAGTTTAAATATGCACATCTTTTATATTGCTAAACCTATCGTCATCGTTTGTCGTGGCACAATGCGTGTCTTTCTTAAGTTTAAATATGCACATC